CTCTGAGGAGAACTGGGCTGAGCTCCTGCATGGAGTATTTGAAAGCCAAGACTTTGCAAAAATCAGGAGTGATTCATTAACAGCAAAAGGTCTAATTAATATTTGAAAGTGCTCAAACCACATCCTGCTGCTGTCAGGGAAGAGCCCACCAGCATCCCCCGCACAGCTCCGGCCCCTGGAGCTCCTGAGGAGAACATTAACAGCCTCCGGAGCAGGAGGGTGAAATAATCAACAAATTAATTTCCCTTTCAAAGGGGAGTTTTGCTGTTTCTTGGTATTTTCTGCTGTGCAGTACTTGGTCTATTGGAGTTATGACAGGAGTGAGGAGACATCCAGAGATCCTGTGGGATGGAGCCATGAGTGTCCCATGGTCCAGTCCTTCAGGGGCCACATACTGCAGCTGGATGAGGTTTGGTAATATCCAAAGCCAAGCTTTCCTCTCTGACTCCACATTTGTACCTGGTGCTGTTTCCAATGCTCCAAAAGTGCTTCCAATGCCTCCTCCGCTCTTCCAACACAATGTTCATGCAGTCCTTGGTTCTATCTTCATTTTTTAAGGGATGGCTGGTCCTGGTCTGAGCCCAGACTGTCCTCACCATGCTCCCAGTGCCTGAGGCTGGACCCATTTCCATGGCACTGGCATCTCTTCCCTGCTGCTGATGTGCACAAGAGCTGCTGTGCTGAGTGTTCCCCATGCTGGATCTGCCCAACAACACAGCCAGGGAGGTCCTGAGGGAGTCTGCCACATTGCAGCTGCAAACAGCCAAATCCACTGGGATTTGGATGCTCCTGGGCTGGGCTGCGCTCAAGGTGTTGGACTGCGTGGCTTTGGTTTGCAAACCTTGGAGTGCGGATCCTCAGGTGTCCACACTGTCCTGCCTCCCATCTGCTGGGGTGGAGCTGCCTGGGAAACACCTGCCATGTCCCTTCTAGGGGCTCCAAACACAAAGGAATAGGTATATAAATAATGTGGGATGGGGAAACACCTCCCAGAAGCCAGGAAAGGCTGCGTGACAGTTTGCAGATCAGCGCAGCGCCGCGTTGCTCCCGGGTCAGCTCCACGCGCCAGATCTCGGCTCGCACGTCGCTGCCACACTGTCACTGCCACAAAGCTGGTGGCACGTGTTACCAAACAGTCTTCCAAGTTTCTGAGTGACATCTGTCCCTGGGGAGCAGGGACGGTGTGCCTGGAATGGGTTCCTCCTGGGGCGCCCACCTCTCCTCAGCACCCGTGTGCAGGGCTGAGGTCTTGGATTAATGTGCCAGACCCATGTCGAGGGCAACACCAGCCCTGTTCATTTAGTTTTTCCAGCAGATCCTAAGACATTCCCGGATCTCCATCTAGACTGGGCTGAAGTCACTGTTCCTCATGATTTACCTGAAAAGTCTTTTTTTTAATGCATATTTCAGCTATCTCAGAGCTCTCGGGAGCCACTCAGCATTTCACTTCTCCAGCCAAAGTGTTCTTTTGGTTAATAGATGGTTCAAATATTTGCTCAGGACACCTTTGATGTGGGAATTGTGCCGTGTTTGCCAGGAACAAGCTGCCCCGTGGGTGAGAGGGTGTTGGTACAGGGGCTCTAGGGAGAGTTTGATCCTGTAGTTCAGCTCAAGGAGCAAAGAAAGAGGTTCTTTGTTTCCTGTGTCCTGGGAAGCGGCTCTGGCTGCTTGGTCTGCAGTGTTGGTCACTGGTAGCTCTCTCCACTCTCTGAAGGAGGTGCTCAAAATACAGCCCATCATGGCAGAGTCACAAGGGCCCTTTTGTCCTTGGAATGGGGATTTTGCAACTTGAAGAGCCTCATTGCAGAAATCTCTGCAGTCTGATTTGGGAAATGTTGCTCTCCGTTGCACGTGTCTCCTTCTGCATCTCCCTGTGAGGGTGGTGAGGCCCTGGCACAGGCTGCCCAGAGAAGCTGTGGCTCCCCCATCCCTGGAAGTGTCCAAGGCCAGGTTGGATGGGCTTGGAGCAACCTGGTGTAGTGGAAAGTGTTCCTGCCCTTGGCAGGGGGTGGGACAGGATGAGCTTAAGGTCCCTTCCCAAACCATGCCATGTTTCTATGATTTTGTATATATAAATATATATATAATTGTCTGAAACTCGAGCAAAGGGCAGCCTGTTCAATATGCAGCTCAGCACAGCCTTTAACATTTCACAGAACAGATGCCCACTGAGCATCTTGAAACAGATCCAAAGGTAGCAGTGACGGCCGCTGTCAGGGAAACAATAATCCCACAGCCTTGATGCAGCTCCGGCATGGAGCCACTTGCCACGGAGTTCTGCTGCTGGTGGCTTTGTGGGATGAAAGGAGCCAGTTGGAGGTGGCCCAGGCAGGCAGAGGTGGGGTGTCCGACGCCGTCATCTTATCAGCCAAAATTCCCTTCCCTGCACAGCTGGCTGCAAGGAGGGAAGTGCTGGTTGTGGCTCCAAGCTGCGGGAGGAATCTGAGCACGGGCACAGTGTCCTGACCCTGATCGTGTGCACTGTGGTGATCCCTATGCTAGAGGGAGGAGGATGAGGATGGAGAGGGAGTGAGGCATTACTGGAGTCCAGCATCCCTCAGCTGATGCCTGGCATCAGTCCTGCTGAAACCAGAGCAGGACTGGGAGCTCTGGAGGCAGGATGGGCAGGAGAAGGATCACACAGGTGTTGAGTGAACTCCATTGCATCCCTCCCGTCCCTACGCTGGTGCACTGGGTACTCCCTGGAAACACCGGGGAGCCAGCTGGAAAGGAAGATAGACAGGAATGTGGTTTGGAAAGTGGTGTTATCTCATGGGCAGAGAGCTCCATTCCCTGCTCAGAATCCCCCTGTCACCTGTTGTCCATGCTGGGCAAGGGCACCCATGCTCTACATCCTGTTGGACGCAGCAGCCTGATGGAGCAGGAAGAGCTGGAGCAGCTGGGATGGACGGAGCACAACACCAGCAGCAGGGCTGCTTGCAGAGGCTGGGTGGGCTCGTGGGGCACAGGAGCTCACATCAGGACCCCCCAGAAGATGGGCACAACTTCTGCTCTGGGCCCTCGAGACAGTGCCAGGTTTGGAAGTGACTCTCAGACTGTTTACCTGCAGCATGTGGGGAAGAGCCTTTAAGAAAAGTCAGCACTGTTTTAACAGGTCTCCTCAGCCTGGGAATTCCCCACTGGCCTGGGAAGCAGAGAATGCTGGATGTGCCGCTGCACAGGCTGCCTGATATGCTGGGCTGGGAGCAGATGGTGCAGGGCAGAGGGTAATGTGGTTGTCCTCGTGGATGGCGGTCCCCCGGAGCGTGCTCCGGCCTGTCAGCTCAGGAAGTGACAGCCAGGCCCTGGCACTGGGCTCACAGGAGAGAGGAGATGGAAAGGAAGAGACATGGGAATTACAGAGCTCGTCCCAGAAGCTCACAATAGTTACAATAATAATGCAGCTCATTCCCCCACCATGACGTCCTGCCAACAGGATGGAGGGATCCATGTGGGGAGCACAGGGGATGGAAGGGGAGCAGCGAGGATTCTTCCTCCTCTCCCTGATTGTATGGAGAACATCTGGAAGAGGAGAGCTTAGGGAGCACATCTCCTCCAAAAAGGACATTTTGCAGTTGGCAATAACATTTCTAAGCGTGGGACACAGCTTCATGGGCAAGTGTGAACAGATCCTGCCTGTGCTCCTGCTGAGAAAATGGGGTGGCTGCACAGGGATGCTGGCAAAGGCCATACAGGGGTGATGGTGGTGGCCATGCAGGGATGCTCATACCCTCAGCCAGTCTGGTTCCAGCTATCACCCAGCTGAACCAGCCAGGTACAGATCCCATCCTAAGGACCCTGCTCCAGCACTGGTCTCCCAAGTTGCCTTGGCACATCTGGCAGGGCCATGGTGGATGCTCTGCATGGCCCTGAGAGCTCAGACTGCTTCCAGCTCAGGTGTTTCATTGTGGTACAGACATGTCCTGACATCCCTCTGCCAGCAAAGCACAGACTTCCCACACTGGAAATGGGATCTCAGGCCAGACAAGATCTGTTGGTGCCCTGTGCATGGGGGACAGGAGTGGGACAGACACAGGGCCCCAGTGACAGGCTCTGCCCTGGCAGTCTGCTTTGCAAACAGGCTCCAGAGAGACCAGTGTGGCTGACACCTCCCCACAGACTCAAGGACACCCAGGGATAAGAATTCTGTCCTTTCTCAGTGTAAGGAGAGATAAGAGAAGCAAGTCATCCAGGCAGGCACAGAGGCCTTTGGCTTTCACATCAGGAGACCCTGGAACAGAGAAATCTTCCCCCATCCAGGTCTGTCTCAGAGACTCAACCATGTCCCTGTCCTAGGGATTGTTCACCCCATCAGAACAGAGAAAATGCAAATGGGGCCTGGACTTAGATCCCAAAGAGCAACATGGGAACTGTGTGTCACAGAACCAGGGCTGAATTCCCTCTCCTCTCCCCATCTTTTCTATGTGAATAAGCAGCTCTTGATCTCCCTGCTGAAAACTCACAGCTCTCTGCTCTCCCAGTGCCACCATTTAATTAATGTTCCCTCTCCCATCCTCTGTCAGTCACACACCACAGCGGTCTGGATGCAGGAGGCAGTTCATCCCAGCAGAACCCCAGTTTCAAACTCTCCCTCAACTTCAAAATATTCCAAACAGCTTTCATCATCCACACAGTGCCAAGGGGCAGGCAAATACAGGAACAATTAATCATTCCCTGGCTCAGCTGAGCTGCTCAACATTTTGGCATGTGCCAGCTGAGCAGGGACACAGCTCTTCTGGGGAGCAGCCTGGATTTCAGGTCTGATCCTGATGCTTCATTGGTCTGACACTGAAAATCTCTGGGCATTTGCTGCCTTTGCAGCACCACGTGTAAGCTGTGGAGCGTGCCAGGGGTGAGCTGGGAATCAGGTGTAGAAAACTGCACCGCTGCTGGCACATTTTATGGTATCTGGGCTGGTAATGCTGCCAAGTGGCATTTTGAGGGGCTGGACAAACAGAGCCAGAAGGAAGGAGTGGAGCAAGGAGAGGTTTGCTTTCCAGGAGACACAGCAGTGTACAAGGACGGCGTGTACTGGATCAGGGGCCGCACCTCGGTGGACATCATCAAAAATGGAGGGTTCAAAATCAGCGCCCTGGAGGTGGAGCGTCACCTGCTCGCACACCCCTACATCACAGGTACTGCTCTGCCCTGTCCCTGTGGTGTGCTGGCAAGGATGGAGCGTGGGAACACAGCCCTGGATCAGTGGGTGCATGAGGCTCCCAAGGGCTCCTGCCTGGAGCTCACTCCCAGCCCTCCCACAAGCAAGACTAGTCTGAGCAAAGTGTCTAAATCCCACTGTTACTTCTCTCCTGGGGCCAAAGCCCGTGGCCATGTGCTGAGTCAGCAGCAGCTCCCATCTGACTGTGGAAATGAGACTGTAATTTGATCTGTCCTGCCCTTGTGCATGGCCCTGTACAAGGGGACAAAAGGCACCCCCAGCTCCACACCACTCTGTACATCATCTTCCTCCCTATTGACTCTAAATTGCTCAAACCATGGGGCTTCCTGCCTTTTCCATGGTACAAAGCTCTGTTTTTGTGTCAGCACAAAGGTCCAGGGTGTTTTCCTGTGCATTTTCCTCCCCTCACATGGCTGCTGCCAACACCTGAACCCCCCTTCTACCCCCCTAGGCTCCAGAAGCTGCTCAGGTTCCTCACTCCACCTCCTGTTCTCCCTGCAGACGTGGCTGTGATCGGGCCCCCGGACATGGTGTGGGGGCAGCGGGTCAGTGCTGTCGTGCAGCTGCGCAAGGGAGAGATGCTCTCAGTGAAGGACCTGAAGGACTGGGCCAGGTAAGATGCCACAGGGAGATGAACAGTGGGGGACACAGGGAAAGCAGGGTCAGAGCCAGCAGTGTCCTCATCAGGGACATGTCATAGAATCATAGAATCATGGAATGGTTTGGGTGGGAAGGGACCTTAAAGCCCATCCAGTTCCACCCCCTGCCATGGGCAGGGACACCTTCCACTACATCAGGTTGTTCCAAGCCCTGTCCAACCTGGCCTTGGACACTTCCAGGGATGGGGCAGCCACAGCTTTTTTGGGCAACCTGTGCCAGGGCCTCACCACCCTCACAGGGAAGAATTCCTTCCCAGTATCCCATCTAACCCTCTGTCAGTGGGAAGCCATTCCTCCTTGTCCTGCACTCCAGGCTCTTGTAAATAGTGTCTCTCCAGCTCTTGGTTCACTTCAGGTGCTGGAAGGCCACAATTAGGTTACCCCAAAGCCTCCTCTTTTCCAGGCTGAACAATCCCAACCCTCTCAGCCTTTCCTCATAGGAGAGGTGCTCATCGTGCTGCATAGTGCCTGCTCATCCCTTGTCCTTCTGGCAGGGACATTTGTGATCCCAGCAGATCCTTTCATCCCCCACCTATGGCCTTGTGAATCCCCCAGGTGTTGCTCTGTGGGTCCCTGGTGCAGGGCAGGGGGCTGCACTCAGCCCCCCATGTACTTCCCTGCCTACCCCCCTCCCAGAGTGTTCCCTGCACGTCTCTTCCCATCGCTGTCCCCAGCTCTGTGAGGGAGATGTTGCTCTTCTGCCCTTGAAACCAGAGCCCCCGGAGGGTCCGGCCGCCCACCCGGGCTGTGCTCCCTGCCCAGCAGTGGCTCCAGGCACCGCTCCAGCCCCCTCCCGCCTCTCCCTCTCGCCCTGTCTGTCCCCTTTATTTTTTATGTCACTTACATTCACTTGGCCCCTTTTCTTGCGCTCCCTGGCAGGAGACACATGTCCCTCTTCAGAGTGATTCATTTTGCGGCTTTCACTCCGATGGCGCTTCCCGGCGACAGGCGCCATCCCGAGTTAGCGGATCCATATGGCCGGGTGCTGGTGGCAGCGGGGGGAGGAGGCCAGGCGAGGGCTGAAGGGCTCAGCAGACTTGGCATCTCGAATTAGAGTCAGTGCCAGGACGCTGCCGGGGCTGGGCACAGCCCCAGGTTGGTGACACACGGGCGGCAGAAGGCAGGGGAGACCCCCCTGCGTGCTCTGCAAAGGGAATGATGCTCAGTGCTCAAACCCCTCCCCGCAGCAGGAAGGCCCCCGTGGGCTGTGATCACTGACAAATCACCTGCACGCTCCTGGGGAGGTGACTCACCTGCAGTCTCAGTTCTCAGGGACGGGCACCAGGAACACGTGGGGTCCAGCATCCGCCACTCCACTGCGCGTTGTCCCTGTCTCTAACAGGGAGGGTCACTGATTCCACCATTTGAAGGGTCTGCATGCCCCTTCCTCGGGGGTGGATGGGTGCTTTGGGGTGCCCCATGGCAGGATTGGCAGCACAGGCAGCTGCTCCCAAAGGGCAGCGAGTGGGAAGCCAAGGGTGACCCTCATGGATGAGCTGGAGGTGTCAGGTGGAGCCAGGTGTCAGTAACAGGGTCTATCTCCAGTCCAAAACACGGCAAGTGGTGAGCCAGGTCCAGGTGCCACCAGAGAGCACAGGCAGGAGAAGAATAGGACCAGGGATGAACTGTGGTGGGGGAACAAAGTCCTCCCAGGAGACAAGGGCAAGAAGAGGGCTGGAAACAAGCCCTGCATCCCCAAGAGTTGAGCTGCTCCCTGCAGAGACAGGCTGGAAACAAACAACCTCCCAAACAGCTCTAGTGGGACTGAGAGCTAAATGGGCCCCTGGGGTGCGGGTGGGGGTCCCAGGTGTGACTGATCAGGGCCCTGAGGGCTGTGGGTGCTCCCAGGACACCTCAGCCTGTGCTGGTCCCAGATGGCTGTAATGGACTGTTCCAGGGAGACCATGGCTCCATACACCATCCCAACGGAGCTGATCGTGGTGGAGGAGATCCCACGAAACCAGATGGGGAAAGTGAACAAGAAGGAGCTTCTGCAGCGCTTCTACCCAGCCTGATTCCTGGCCCTGGGGTCAGGGCTGGGACCCCCAGGGGTGCTTGGCCTTGATCCACGTCTGTTCTGCCTTCAAAGAGGTGCCGCAGGGATCAGCAGTAGCAGATCTGGGCTCACTGCAGCCTGGTCCATGAATAATATCCAATAAAAGTAGGATTTATTTATCCCACCTGGCCGAGCTGAGCCAGAGCTGCAGAGTTAGGTTTTCCTTGTGTGAGAACCCTTTGCAGGAATCACAGAATCATGGAATAGTTTTGGTGGGAAGGGACCTTAAAGTTTACCTCGCTCCAACCCCCTGCCATGGGCAGGGGCACCTTCCACTGGACCAGGTTGCTCCAAGCCTCATCCAACTTGGCCTTAGACACTTCCAGGGATGGGGCAGCCACAGCTTCTCTGGGCAACCTGTGCCAGGGCCTCATCACCCTCATAGGGAAGAATTTCCCAGCACAAATGAAGAATAAATACAAAATCACACATAGATACTGGCTGTGCTGTCTAACTCAGTACATCTCTCCCCATGTTCTCCCAGTGCACCTCATGGGTGTAATCCATCCCACAATGGAGCAGGAAAGGGGGAAGGGGAAGGGATGGCTGCCAGGGACTTGCAGGAACCTCAGTGTGATCAAAGAGCCATGAAACAATAAATAATGTGCAGAGACCCCAGGGAGATGGGGAGGAACAGCGTGACCAGGCTTGGGGTTTGGGCTGTGTCCACAGTGGGGCAAGGGGTGAAAGCCCTGGTGGGCACATGGCAGGCTGGGGTGGGGGCAGAGCCAAGAGGGATGTCACAGGCACCCTGGAGCAGATGCAGCATGAATTAAACTCTCTGTATGTATGAGACACCAGTGCCCACGTCTGAAGGTCATTGATTACCTGGAGGACAGGCACTACTGATAAACCCCACCTTTATACATGGAATTTTGTCCCTGTTTGACTTCACACAGGAGCTGCCAGCCCTGGGAGACCAATAATGCCAGTGAGGGATGGCAGCCATGCCCTGCAGGTTCCCAACCAGTGGGTCCATCCCACTGCACTGGGGAGGCATCAGGATGCTGGTCCAATCCTGTCCAGGGCCAAGGGGCTGACAGGGAGCGCCAGCTTTCCCCAGCAGCTGGTGGGGCACTGGAAGCAACAGGAAGGGCAAGAGGAACAGAGAGCACAAGTAATTACAGGGATACCTTTGCTAGGGTCAGTGGAGCCCCAAAAACCTGGCAGAACACATCATGAATATGGAGGGGACAGCTGGCAAGTACTGGACATAGGGAGTAGGGATGGGATAGGGACATGACAGCAGATGAGAAAAGGGGAAGGGGATGTGGATAGGAACAGGCTTCCTCCTTTGCAGCCCCTCCATCCCACTCCACACCATCTGCACAGGGATCCAGCCACATACCAGCACCCAGCCCACAGTAGCATCTCCCAGGGCCTGAATTTTGGTGTTTCAGGCTCAGAAGGAATTGTGATGGGGACACTGGGGACACCGAGAGCTCACCAGCCACCCCTCCCTGTCCCACACCACAGGCTCAGTGCTCCAGCACATGGACACACGTGTGGAGCTGAGCACTGGCAGCTCGTCCCAGCCTGCGGGAGGGACCGAGCGGATCCTTTGTTAAAACATCAACGATGCAGTAAATTTTTTAACTTACCAAATAGATCAATATCAAATTATCATGTCTCGCATTCATAACTCTTAAGCAAGCAACAATGGAGAAAGACAAGGTCACTGGAGAATAAATAGCAGCAAAAGCTCTTAATGATCTATCATTCTCGACAACCCCGGGCACCCCGCACCAGCCCCGTGACAAGATCATTAATAAAACTCTGCAGGAACGCTATCGATTGCTTTGATGGATGATCACAGGTAGCAAATACTGTAAAACACCTGGTTGTCACACACAAAATGAGTAGTTTGACTCACACCTCAGCGCAGGGACTCGGCTGTGGCTCTGCTGGATTTGCTCCTCGGTGGTTTCTGCAGGGCAGGCGGTCAGTGGTGACCCCCGAGTTTGGGGCTGCCATCCATGCTGTACCCCCATGGTGCCACCTGCACTCCCCCATTGTTGTTCATCCCTATAGATGGAACCTGTTAATTAAAAGCCTCATTAAAGCACCTGGTTATGGTGCTACGGAACCCAGTTTGGGAGCTGAGCCAGGTGGAGATGGGGTGGGGTGACCTGGTGCCACTGGATGAACATGGAGACCTCCAGGAACACTGACACAGCGAGGACCCCAGGGAGGGATGGGAGTCTCCGAGGCCATGGGCTCTGCTCCCTCCATGCTACCTCCATTAGGGGTGCAAGAGGGGCTGTGTCCCCCCCTCTCCCGCTCCAGGCATTTCACTTGCAAGCCACGTCGGCATTGACGGTCGGATCATATGTACACAACCATTCAATTACCCCGTAATGGCTACAGGCGATTAAGCCATCAATCTCCTTCATTAAGGCCTGCCAGGCCCAGCCCAGCATCACCCAATAAAACCATTAGAAGAACAACAACAACAACCCATAGCAGCAGCTTTAATGCATGGGCTGTTACGCTGGCCCTGTCAACAGCACTGGGGGTGTCCCTGACCTGGGGACGCCTGGGGACTCACTGCAGTGGATATTGCCCTGCTGGGGTGTCCCAGGGAGCTGGGGACTGCCCACCCATCCATGCCCCCCCCCCCACTCAGCACACCAAGACCTGCTCTCATGCTTTATAGCTGACATTACCTTTTATTGCCATATAAAATTGAAGCTGGTGGCTTTATGGGGCTATGCCAGCGTGTGGCACCTCTGTGCTCCCAGCTGCTCCCTCTGCCCTTGCTGGGCACTGCCCTGACCCCCAGTCCCTTGTTGGGGTCATGACTGGTCCTGCTGCATCCCACTTTAGGAATATCCATGGTCCCAGCACACACAGTGGGGGCACAACTGGTCCGAGCAGCCACAGCAGTTGCACTGTTCTGGGCAAGTCAGAGAGTGTCAGATGGGAGGGGGGATTGGGACCCTCCAAAACAGGGTGACCCAGCACAGCAAGGAAGGTCATGGTCCTGGGCCGGTCCCACTTGGACTCAGCATCTGGGAGACCCCAAGCCACTGCACTCCAGTGGGACCCCCAGTTTTTGGGGGGAGAGGGGCAAGTGGTGTCAGTGCAGGGCCAGCAGTGAGGGGGGCTGCAGCACTCGCTGTCGTGCTGCAACCGGGGACACACCACGGGCAGCCCTGTCCCCACGAGCGGGTCTGGCGCCTTGTCAAAGCCTGTCACATCTGCCACCCCAGCACCCCCGCGCCGCGGTGCCGGTGGCAGGGAACATCTGCTCGGCCGCCCCGCTGCCACGGTGCGTTAGGGTCAGGGGCAGCCGCCAGGACCCCCGGCCAGCGCCGCCGGGGCGGCTCCTCGCCGTGACACTGATGCGGGGTGACAGGACAGCGGGGCGGACGGATGGGATCGGACAGACGGACGGGCAAGTGAGCGCCGCTGCCCACGCCACGGCCCAGCCAAGCCGCGGGTCATCGGTGCCCGACGCTCACCCGCTCGTGACAAGTCCTTGGAGACACCGACAGCCCTGACACCACCGCTCAGCTCCTGGGTACGGGCAGGACACATCCTGTATCCCTCCTCCTGTATCCCTTTTCCCACACCTTGTTCCGCATCCCCGTGTCGGTGCCCACCCACAGGGCACCTGTTCCGTGGACGGGACGGTGCTGGCCGGGAGTACCTGCAACTGCCAGGCAGGTACGCGGTGATGCCACCAGTGTCACCGAAAAACCTACGCTCCCTTGCCAGATCCAGGGCTCGGTTATCCGGGAGAGCAAGAGTCCCTCGACCCCTTCGACTTGCCCGGGGGGTCGCGGTTCTCCATCCCTGCTGCACTGGGACCCCGCGCGGCGAGAGGGGGCCGGTCCTCGGTGCGGCACCTCGTGCTCGGGGACCGCCGATGTCGGGGCTGGTGGCCTGGACGATGCTGCCACCTGGTGCCACGGCACCGCGACAGCATCGGGACCGGCATCGGGGATGGGGGAAACGCCGGGACCGGCACCGGGGGTCGAGAGAAATACTGGGACTGGCACAGGGGCCGCAGGCGGCACCGGGACCAACCTTGGGGGTCGAAGAAAGCACCAGGACGGGCCCCGATAGTCACGGGCAGCATCGGGACCGGGGTTCGGGGGACAGCACTGGGACCGACAACGGGGGCCGAGAGTCTTGGCGGGACTCCCCGAGCAGCCCTCGGCCGCTCCGTCCCGTGGGAATCCATCGGGACCAGGAGACAGTGGGACGCTGCCGTCTCTCTCCTGACCCTGCAACAGGACCGGCCCCGACGCCAACGCAGATGATACCGGCACCGTGAATGGCCGGGGAGAGGCCGGTGGGCTCCCCCCGACGGGAGGAGCGGCGTAGCGGGGCGGGAAGAATCGCTCCCGATCACTGTTCGTGTCCGTGTCCCTCTCCTTGTTCCTGTCCAGGTTCCTATCCTGTTCAGGTTCCTGTCCCACTACCGGTGCCGGTCCCTATCCATGTCCCAGTGCTGGTCCCTATCCCTCTGCTGGTGTCTGTTCCTGTCCCAGTGCCGGTACCGGTCCCTGTCCCGGCGCCGGAGCAGCGGAGGGGCAGGGGGCCCAGGTCTCCCCTCCCGCCCGCCCCGTCGCGGCATCCCCGGAGCGCGCCCTGCGCCAGCTGCCGCGTTCCGTCCGCCCTGCCCGGGGCTGCGCACCCCCGGCCCCCCGGGCCCCCGGGTCCCGCTCTCCCGGCCCGGGTAGGGAGGACCTCCCCCCCATTCCCTCCTCGCCCCCCGAATTCCCCCGGCGGGCCCCTCGGCGGGCCGGGCAGGGCAGGGGGTGCGGGCTGCGGGCCGGGGGCGGCGGGGCCAGCTGCCCGCGGGGGGGTCCAGTGCCCGCAGCACATGTGCTGTCACTCAGCCAGTCCCGCCGCTATTTTAGCTCGGGGCCGGCGGCCGGGCTGTGCCCCGCTCCGCCATGGGCCCCCCGCTCCTCCTCGCCTGCCTGCTCGCCCCTCTCTGTGCTCGGGTAAGGGGTGCGGGGAGACCGGGAGGGTGGGGATGTGGTGTGATGGGTTGGGATGGGAACCCCCACTCTGTACCCTGGGAGGGCTGGCTGGGATGGGGAGCCTGGGCACGGAGCTGGGGAGTAGCTGGACCCCAAACCCCGCAGAGTCATGTCCCTGGGGGCAGCGGGGATGGGGCTGGGGGTGATGGGGGCTTGGAGCCCCTCTTGAGGCATTTCCCACCCCACAGATGGCCGTGGCAGGGGGGGGCCTGCGGCTCCGGCACGCTGCCTGCGCCTATGAGCCGGGATGGGCTGAGAGCGGGTCTGGGGAAGTGTTAGGCACTCAGATGCATCCTGTTCTCCCTTTTCCCATTCCATCTGAGGTCCCAGACCCCCCTTGCACCCCCTTGCCCATGCCCATCGCCCCAGAGCCCCTCCCCGCGGTCTCAGGCCTGAGCCACATGGGGCTGTTGGGGTTCTGGCCTGGTCTCTGCACTC